GGGGGGGGGGGGGGTGTGCTTCAACCCTCCAGATAATTAGGTAATAATCATTTAAATAATATACCAGTCCTTTAAAATACTGACAATTGATTAATTTTATAAGCGGCTACATTATCCTAATCCATGACAAACTGTAAAGAATCATATTACCCAATGCATATACTTTCGTGCAACTTCTCCAATATACAGTATAGTAAATTAAATACGCCTTCTCCCATTTAGTACTACTAAATTGTAAGCAATTTGTAAATTTCGACATACTAAAACGCTTTTTTCTGACCATCAGAATTCTGTTAAAACTTCCCCCAAAGTCCTGGAAATGGCATTTCAGAGACTCTAAAATTTAAAAATTTCCTCCCGAGGGCCTCCAGCCCTCGTTTTCTGCCCCCAATAAACAAAAGCTTCCTACAGCACTGCTTCTGTAATATGCCTTCATTTTCCGGATAGCAAACACTTTCATGGCTTCGTATGCCATGAAATATTCTGAAATTTTTTTCGTCATTCGGAAATTTTTGGCCTACACCCCTCCCAACTATACATGCTTGCTACGGCCCTGCCTATCAGGGACCTAAAGTTGCATTTTTCGCAGCTGTTCCTGGTCAGGTATAATAAATATATATAAATTTCCTCTCTACAATTTCCATCTACAATACCAACCTCAATTAATTTAAAGCTTGTCATATACGGTATGTGCCTGTGTAGGTATTGCCAATAATCCTGGTGGATTCCATGGGCTTACTGTAGTTTACGAAACGAAGTTAAACGAAAAGAAATCTGCAGTTTGTGAAATCTGTAATTTGCGAAATCTGCAGTTTGCGAAATCTGTAATTTGCGAAATTTGCCATTTGCGAAATCTGTAATTTGCGAAATCTCTATAGTTTACTGTTTAGGGTAAAATAAAAAATGTTCACATGTTCCGAGAGCGAGGCATCAGAAGTACAGTTAAATTCCGCGGCGAGTAAGAAGAGGGCCCCCTATACCTCTTCACAATATGCTTTCACGTAAAAATATTTTGCCATTTCACGAGTCACGGATTAAGAAAATCATCAATCACGTTTCACGGCTAAGTAAAATAAGCCCTTCACCCTTCACGCAAAAAGTATAGGGGGCCTGATCACGTTTCACGGCTAAGTAAAACAAGCCCTTCACGCTTCACGCAAAAAGTATAGGGGGCCCTCTAAGAACCTAGCAGAGGCGTAGTCAGGGCTGGGGGCCCGACCCCCCTGGCAAAATTTTGGCCTCCCCTGATTAAGTGTTATTCCTCTGATTTCAAAATACATACAAACTGGTTAAAAAAGCTCGTCTTCGTCTCGTATTTTCAACCTACTTGTCTGTATTTACTATCAGAGGAAGAACACATACTTGCGTTAGACTAGTACGTAATTATATGTATACTTCGACTATGCTATGAATACCAGACAAAAATACTAAAATCTGCCGCAATTCCACAAGTCAACTTGTAAAATAATGAACATATTCGGCTGGCTCAATGTTGTCGGAATCTTCGTGGTGAAGCATCGGAAAAGGTGATACGGAAATGGGAAAAAGTGCTACGAAAACAATTGTAATGCTATTGTCCGGAATTTGTCCCCCTTGACCAAAAATCCTGGCTACGCCTCTGGAACCTAGTTTATTAAGAACCTACCTGACTACAGCCTGAAATTTGCCATTTAGATTTTAGACACAAAGTCATAATTGCGATAAAACGTTATCACAATAAATTGCTTTACTTGTATTAGAATAAACATCTTATCTGAGACTGCAAAATGTGAAAGTTTAAGATTGAAAATACACCGTTGCCAGCAAATTGATTGGAAATTTTGCCCTGACTATGGAATTTTCCCTGAAATTCTTGAAAAGCATACAGGGGATTGAAACTTGGCATGAATTAAACAACCAGCTTTATAGCCTCCCAATTCACGATTTTAGAATTTTGTGAAAAACATGTTATGGCATGCATGAGTCGACATCCAAACAAATCTATTTTCCAGACAAAGAGATGATGAATAATTAAATACATTATAAACTATTAATCTATTCCAAATGGAAATTCTCTCAATCTCTTACAACAGAAATAGTACCATGTCCATGCTATGTCGGGTAATTGGTAGTAATTAAGTCAGTGTGATTCGGGTTGTGTGAACATTTGATCACCACACTAATAATAAACACAACAATAGGGAAATTAAAGTGGAAGTCAAGTCCGTAATGTAAACAAACGGTTTGTTTACATTTTGAAATGCTGTATTTTTAAAAATATGATGTACTGTCTGAATATCTGACACTATTTTGGTTCGCTATGCTTCTAAATGAATATGAAATAGAGTTTATGTTCAGAAAAATTCGAAACATACGAAAATTTGGGCAATGTTCACATTAGAGGGCCCTCGCATTGTTACAGTATGAGCAGAACCGATGCGCAGAACGGACTTGACTTCCACTTTAAACTAAATTGTTCTGTAAGTGTCATATCACTCGCTTAAACTTGAATAAACTCTCTTCGACAATGATTCTAGCAGTGAAGAATTTGTTGATGGTCATGCATATCACGACAACTAATCGCCTCATTTGTCATGATTCACAGCATATGCATATTGAGTTCCAGAAATATGGGTGCCTTTGTAAGATACAGGTTTTACGTATACAGTAAAACTTTGCCGCCTCTTTCTTCCAAGTAGGCTCCATTCGTACAACATTCCCCTTTTCATCTTTCTTTGGATAATAATATCTCTCCATGTGCATGATGGCGATATCATGAGGTATGCAAACAATTGGACCGTGTGCAAATTCTACTTTGCAGTACTCGCATTTTATGTTTTGTTTACTAATTTCTTTTGTAAACACAATGTGAAAAAGGTTACTGTTATGCCATACTTCAGAAAAGGACATTGGTTTGGCAAAATCAATATCATTGTCAGCTTTTCTTTTTTCAGAAACTATCGGTACGGTCGGAATATTATTGAGTCCCTTTCGCTTCTTCTTTTCTTTGGGCTTGTCGCCAGCTCGTCTCGGTACATGCTCGGAAACAATCCTGCCAACCTTGTTTTTCTTCAAGTTAAACTTAGTAAGACAGCCAGAAAGCATTCCCATTTCTTCAGCTACAGCAAGTGTATGCTGGCAAAGTCCAGCTGTGCTTTTCGAGGTTTTGCAGGGGCAGGTAACGATGCCTTCCTTTGTTACGACATTTGTACTTGTTCCATGTTCGGTCACACGGAAGACACCATTGTTAAGATCAATTTTGTGGTGGTGCGACAAAATTATTTCAGCTTGATGCCATATCTGATTGAGAAGGCCAGGGGGGATTGTGCTGATTCCGGAATTTGTCAGCTTTACTGATAACTTCCTCGTAACTAGTTGTTGACTTTCTTCAGAATTTCTGTTTAGATGACCTCCGAGAACTCGCTTCACATGTTGTTTCCTTTGCTCCTCCGTCTTTTGCGACCAATGCAATGGACTCACAGAATATGTTTTGTACTTTGGAGCTAAACGATATTCTCCAGTATTGTAAATTGCCTTGATGTATTCATTTTCCTGTTGCTTGATTACATTATTTTCTATTACTTCGTGGATACGCACCTGATCACTGATTTGATTCTGATTTGCCTCTTTTATTACATTGTTCATCGATTCAGTTCTTTGGTTGGACCACTTGTTCGGTGGGTCACCTAATCCTGCATTAGTACGCACTGGTTTCAGCATACATTGTTTCAGTGTTTCTTTCAGTGATCGTGCACGTCCCCTTGTTGTTTGCATCCAACTTTGAAATCCTTCAGGCCATTCTTTTTCCATATCAACATACCTCTGCTCAAATTCTTCAGCTGTTTCACTGTCAACAAGACCCATTATTCTCGTCCCGCCATACTCTTTTCCAAGAATACCAGAGATTATTGTTTTTCTATTTGTTTCATCTACTTTCATTGAAAGCAACTTCTGCTTCAACATCGTGAACGTGATCGAAACAACGCAGATGAATGTTCTCACCATTGTGGATTGGAAAGACATCTTCAAAGCCAAGTTCCATAGCGCACTCACCATCCATGCCAAAAGCCAAAGATGTCACACCTTTGGTTTTGAGGCACCTCGCCATGTATTCGTAATCTTGTTTCTCTTTAGTAGTGGAAGTCATTATTGCATGCAGTCAATGTTGTTGGATGTTTTTGGTCGTCAGATTTAAGCACAAACATGGGATTCGGCAAGGTCATGGTTGTTAGATAAAATGGGCCGAGTTGATATGTCATATCTATTCCTGCCACTGCAGATGGTTGTGTTCCTGTACAGACGCGTTTCACCCACTTCAAGCATGTTTCTGACGCTGCGAAAGTATTTGGTGCGGCTCGTTTCACTCCCTTTTTATCAGTGCTGACGGCAAAACTTACATTCTTGAGAAAGGATCCAGAATACTGCACCGACAACAATTTCGTAAAATCAGGTGCCGCGGCAGGACCAGTGCTCCTCGATCTTATCCGCCCTTCGACTTTGCTTACTTGGTGGTACACTTGGTTACGATCTCTCGGTAGATAAGATGGAGACGAGACACAGCTAACATCGCCAGCTTGCTTCTCCATTGCACTGATTATTTGTTTGGCACTTCCTTTCTGCCCCAGTTCTCTAATTTTCTCCATGACGCTGGGCTTGGTGCGAATATATGGTTCTTTGCTTTTCTTACTACAACCATGGGGTTTTTCAAACAGATTTGACGTATCCTTCGTTTTAACTATATACTGGACAACGGCGAAATGCAACAACGCGTTATTTTCTTCAACCTTCGTTATTATACGACGGTAGTCTTTGGACAAACTATGCCAACTGTATTGGCGTTTTATAAGAAATCGCCGCGTGTTAAGAGAATGAGAACTTTCTTCATCTTTGCTTACAGTCCTTACGTTACTCCCCAGAACACCATCATCATCAACATCCACTTCTACTTCCACAGAAGGGGATGAATGGCAACCATATACTCCACAATCGTCAGCAGTTAAATCTAAGGGATTGACAACAGACAACTAAATTACAAACACAGCACTTCGGTCAATCATCATTGGCACTTTAGTGCATAATTTTTCGGCTGGGAACTCGCCATCAACTTATATACTAATAATTTCTTGTAAGGTCAATCCACGGGAAGAAGTCTTCAAGACAGGCAAGCCATTTAAAGTGGTGGCATCTGTAACAATAAAATTATTGATTAAGTATTAATAACTGAATGGCAATGGGATTGATATATCGATTCTAGTTTAATTTCTTTATGCACTGGCGCAATTTTGGATACCGACAATTACACACCGTGATTTGACCGGTTCCAGAAAACAAAATTGGCGCACAAATGCATTGTGGAAAGGAAATTGTTATAAGAAATTGCACGCATGTTTGGCGAAATATTTAAAATATTAGGTATTATAAATATTTCGTCAAGCAAGGACATGTGCAAGAGAACAAGTGTAATTTCCCATATCATTTTATCCAATTTACTACACAAAAAACCGGTTGTGACTTTACCTAGCCCTACTGAAGTGGTGGGGGTGGGGGTAGGGTTTAGAGGCAGGTTAGTTTTGGAGTGCATGGAGTGAGGTTGGGTTGTAATTTTGATATATTATAATGAGGGCTAGATGTAGTCTATACAAGAGTTGTTTTTTATTTCCCGTGCACCAACTGCGGGCGCAGAAGCGTGCAAATTAAACATTAATTGCACAATGTGCACTTCGTAGACCTTTTCAACCAATTAAAATCACGTAAATTGACTATAATGATATTAATTTTAAAATGTTTGTTGTAACTTAGCAAACATTAATATGTTATATCCTACCAAAATTTTCTGTTTTACCATTGTCATTGTTTGTGATCTTGTTCGTACCCTAAAAGATAAAGGTTACTGTTAAACCGAAAGTTGAGCAACTCGGGCTTTAACTCAGTGCAAGCTAGCTGGTCATCTTTGCCGGTTAACCAAGCTACTGTACCCCAGTGGTAAAAGTTTAGCAGCTAAGTGGTTTGAGCGATGTTTTCAGTGAGCAACTACAGTACTTAATCAATATAATTCCATAACGGGAAAATGCGCTTGTTGTTTGTTAACAAATATACCCGTGCGTCACACTATTCACAAGTAAAAAGTTATTCGTGCCCGTTTGCGCGGAACTTAGGTTTCTGCATGTGCATGCGCGAGTTCTCGATTTCTAAAAAAATCTAACAGTTTGATATTCGATCAGAAGCTCGCTAGAATTCACGCGCGCGCAGCGAGCTAAGCAAACGCGGGCACGAATAACCTTTTTGGTCAGGGGATATAGCTCTAGATTACCAATGCCATTGACATTCGGGGAATGAGATCTTCGTCAGCAGACTTGAATAGATCTTCATCACTCTCATCATAAACATCATCATCTATTACTAAAACTTCCACGTTATCATGTTTAGAAGAGCATGTTATTTCGCCAATTATTTCCAACTCCACTTCGTCTTGCTTATCATCGTTAGGCAATATATGTGCACCGTTAGATTTCGGGCCGCTGTGATATTTCCTGTGTTAAAAAAGAAAGATATATTACAGTCTTGATTATACCTATGCAAAGAATACAGTAATTAGTTCAAAATAGCATACTGTAAAAATAGTGATTTCAGTGAATGATATGAAATGATTAAACAGCCATTCCGCCACAAAAAATTTGATATGTGATAGTTGATATTTACGTAAAAACCCGACTAGATTTTTTAAAATTAAATAGACAATGGTTCAAATATATACAATTCGACACGCATGACACAAAAATGCGCCTCGCGTGCCTTGTGGCAAATGCTGTATTCTGTAACTTTATGTGGAAAATCGGCTAAAATAATTGCGTGTTAACATTTTTTCACTCTGTTGAGTGTGCAAACTTTACCAACTGACTATGGTCACACCACTGTCAAACAATTAATATTTGATCTACAATAGCTACATACGTGTATCCAACATTTTCTAATGTTTTAGCTAAAATAAAATCTGCGCCAATCGTGATCACAACCCAAAACACTTTTGGTTCTTTTTTAAGACGAGGTCAAAAGTTTCCAACATTCCAGGAAAAGTTTCCACGAAAGTCAATGCCAGTGAAAGAAAGCACGCGAACAGTAACACCGATATAGCGAACATGTTCAATGAATATTTTGTTTCCATCTTCTCCTCTGACTCGGACGTCGCCTATGAACATGGTGATCGTCTGCATAACGTAGAGTTTGAGAATATCACATTATCGGAGGAAGAAGTACTAGCTGTGATAATGAATTTAGACCATAATAAAGCACACGGCCCAGATAATATTCCAGCGCGCCTACTGAAAGAGACAGCCGCGCAGATTGCACCATCTCTCTGTTCTCTTTTCAACAAGTCTTTACGTATTGGCGTTGTGCCTGACGATTGGAAACTCGCTAACGTGGTCCCTGTTTACAAACACGGAGAAAAAGCGGAGGTAGAAAATTACCGACCAATTTCACTACTGTCCCTTATCTCAAAAACCCTCGAACGTTGTGTATTTAACAACATCAAACATCATGCTTATGATCAGATAAACCCTTGCCAAAACGGTTTTGTGCCGAAAAAATCCTGCATCACCCAACTCATCGAAGTCCTTGATCACATTGGCCGTGACTTAGATCGTGGTAAACAAATTGACGTAATTTATTTAGACATGTCAAAGGCCTTTGATAAAGTGAGCCACGCAAAGCTGTTACATCGCCTTCGTGAATTCGGGTTTGGAGGAAGCATTCTCAAATGGTTCGGTTCATATCTGACCAACCGATATCAACAAACGACCGTTCTTGGAGCAACGTCGAGACCGCTTCCAGTAACATCAGGAGTGCCGCAGGGATCCATCCTCGGTCCATTATTGTTCCTACTATATGAGAATCATCTCTCCAATTCCGTGACCAATTCAAGGATTGCTATATTCGCGGACGATACCAAGATCTTCAAGACCATCAATTCGATCTCTGATGCGTCTGCTCTACAGAATGATCTGTCAAACTTCCAAGAAAGCTCAAGCATTATTAACCTCGAATTAAATAACACCAAATGCAAAGTCTTAAGAGTCACCCGAAAGCACAATAAAATTACTTATCCATACAAACTTAACGATACCATCCTAGGATGCACGGACTGTGAACGAGATCTTGGAGTTTTAACATCTTCTACTCTGACTTGGTCTAAACAAGTTGACCACCTGTGCAACAAAGCCACCAAAATGCTAGGATATGTCCGAAGATCAACCTTAAACATCAAAGATATCACGGTTCGCCGCAGACTATATTTATGTGTTGTTCGTTCCCAGCTCTGCTATGGATCTCAAATTTGGGCACCACAATCAGTAACCTTAATTAATTAAACGCGTGGAAAGATTTCAAAAACGCGCAACAAAGTACATCCTGAATCTGCCCTTCCGTTGTGACACAACCTACAACCAGAGACTTGCACTTTTAGATCTCCTTCCATTGTGCTACTGGCATGAATTTCTAGATATGGTAACCTTCTACAAATTAACGCACGGCATCATGACCATTGAGAGTAATTTAATACAGTCGTCACCCAATAACAACAGAAGACAAACCAGGTCGTCTAATCCCAATCATTTGTCAGTCACAACGGCACAATGCAAGACCACTACCTACCAAAGGTCATTTCTCAACCGAACAAAGAGACTATGGAACGCACTACCAAAACGTTTGACAAGCAATAACATTAGTTTAGGACAATTCAAAAACGGACTTTCAAAATATTACAAGTTAGCGTTGGAAGACGTTTTTAACGTTGATGATCCAAGGACATGGAAATCAATATGTTTGTCTTGTCCCCGAGCCGGCGGCGCGAAGCGCCGTGCGAGGGTACTAATTCCCCCCGGCTATTTACACCCGGGGAAACGAAAGCATTAGCGGAGTCTAAAGTTCATCAAATATCGCGGGCGCATGGTTCACCGTGCGCCCGCGGTGGTGTCATGAGGTGGTCATCCTCACTGATCTCAAAATATAGCGGACTGTCGTGAATAGCGAACACTGATTGGTCAAATTTAAAATTTGTTGTTGTGAGATGAACTGACGACTTCAACTGACAGATACTTCATGAAAATAATTTGCTTTTTGCACTGCAGTATTTTGTACGTTTGCAAAAAACTTTGACAGCTTTCAAAGCAATTTGTTCTATAAAGAGTTTAATAAAACAATTATGGTATCAAATACCAATTGAAAAGATATGGACTACTGTATGGAGCCAAATGAAGAGCGGCAAGGAAACGACAAGAAAGCCGAACGTCTCGCGAAAAGGAGGGAGCCAGCGAAGACGACAACGTTTGCTCGAGGAGACTGCTGAGGAAAGAGAAGCTCGCCTGGGAAAGCGTAGAGAAGCATGGAAAAAAAAGACTGCTGAAGCGAAAGGTATTAAAGCAAAGGCTTGTATTCACAACGCTATGTACCAATGATACTGTAGCTATACAAGTTTAAGTACATTATGATATTCGACCCTCTATATTCGACTATTTCTTCACAATTTTCCAATAAAGAGTTTGTCATGACACGCTCAAGTCAGTATAACCAGACTGTATTTTGTTTATATCAGTTATCAAATACCGTCGGTGCCAACTAAGGGTGAACAGTTGCAGATAAAACATTCTCTATTCTCATTAAAAAGCCTGTAAAAGTTTCCAGTAGGTCTCTAGCCAAACAAGTTCAGACAAAGTTTTGTTACTTATTTTTATTGCACACATGGGAAACAACAATTAAGTGTTGTTGTTCTTGACAAACATTGAAGATTCTAATCACGCGAATGTTTTTATGAGCGACTGTTCATCGTTAGTTGCAAACGACGGTACAACATACTATGAACATTTTTCCGACTGTGACCGAATGTGCAACGATATATTTTTCAAAGTTGTTAACAATTCCTAAAATTTGTTTATAGTAAAACAGCCTGCTCAGCACTCACTACTCACGATGATTTCATTTAGAAATGCAGTTACCAGGAAAGGAACTGATTCTAAAATATGTAAAATTAAAAGCATTGGCTATTACGATGTGAAGACAAGGTACAAACTTTTATAGTTGCTATTTGTTATAAATCCTATAAATAAACCGATTCAACAATAATTTTGCCTCGAATTTGCATATTCTATGCTGCATGTTTATATTTTATTTTATTTTTATAGTATAAAAATAAAATTGTAATACTATGAAATAAAATACATTTCTGTTTATTGACCAGTACTTATTTAATGTCTTCTTCATCCAGTGGTCAGAGTAAATTTCTGCTTCTAGCAAGTAAATATTTGACAAGCAGTCTGGAATAAGCACAGGAATAAGCACAATAAGCCATTTTATAGTAGCAATATGAAAAGTTTTTTCTTTTTCCATGACTTTTAATGCATCAGCCAAATCCAAGTGTGCCCATCCCCCTCGCCCAGCCATTTTCCTGTGAAGCACATTCCGGGGGTTGGGCATTTCCACTCGAACCTTAGCCCCGGCGGGGCATTTGAAATTAATAATTTGGATTCTTGCACTTCACTTGGTGGAATTAATATTAGAATGTTAGGGTTTGTAATCCAAGTGAGAATATATACATGTATATATTTTGTAATCCAAGTGAGAATATATACAAATGTATAGTACATGTATATATTTTGTGTATATATTTTGTAATCCAAATGAGAATAGTTTGTAATCCAAGTGAGAATATACAAATGTATATATTCTCACTTGGATTACAAACCCTAACATTCTAATATTAATTCCACCAAGTGAAGTGCAAGAATCCAAATTATTGAAGTCCACCTTATCACAACCCGCACACCCGATTACCTAAATATACATGAACTTACGGTTAAAGCTCAACAGCTGGCCTCTGTAGCTCAGTTGGTTAGAGCGCTGCACCGGAATCGCAGGGCCGTAGGTTCAATTCCTACCAGAGGACCTTGTGCTGCATTTTTCGCAGTCGTTCCTTGTTAGGTCTTAAAATGTATATATTCTCATTTGGATTACAAACCCTAACATTCTAATATTAATTCCACCAAGTGAAGTGCAAGAATCCAAATTATTGAAGTCCACCTTATCATAACCCGCACACCCGATTACCTAAATATACATGAACTTACGGTTAAAGCTCAACAGCTGGCCTCTGTAGCTCAGTTGGTTAGAGCGCTGCACCGGAATCGCAGGGCCGTAGGTTCAATTCCTACCAGATGACCTTGTGCTGCATTTTTCGCAGTCGTTCCTGGTTAGGTCTTAAAATGTATATATTCTCACTTGGATTACAAACCCTAACATTCTAATATTAATTCCAACAAGTGAAGTGCAAGAATCCAAATTATTGAAGTCCACCTTATCACAACCCGCACACCTGATTACCTAAATATACATGAACTTACGGTTAAAGCTCAACAGCTGGCCTCTGTAGCTCAGTTGGTTAGAGCGCTGCACCGGAATCGCAGGGCCGTAGGTTCAATTCCTACCAGGGGACCTTGTGCTGCATTTTTCGCAGTCGTTCCTGGTTAGGTCTTAAAATGTATATATTCTCACTTGGATTACAAACCCTAACATTCTAACATTTGAAATTAAGGATTTGGAGGTTTTGCGATCACTGATAACTTGATAATAATGTGAAACAAAACACTTCTATCTGCAACTTTTACACTCACTGATAACTTGAAAATAATTTAAACCAGTTAAGTTGTAGTTTAAATAGAGAATAATACATGGGTGCACGATTAATACCAGATTTATTTCGAGTGTTGTGAACATGAGTGTGCGGCGAACAAGTGAGCGCAGCGAACGAGTGAGATGTCATGTTCAACACGAAAAATAAATCTGGTATTTCCAACCACCCATGTATTTTTCTGTTTATTATATAAAGGACAGTCTTAAACGAAAAGCGATAATTTTTACAGAAAAGCGATAATTGAAAAGGCGATAATTTTCACATGTGAGATTATCATGAATAATTTCACATGTGAGATTATCATTTTTATCAGTGCTCGAAATCTCTGTAAAACACAATACTTTATATAATAAAAATTCATAAATTTGAACCATGCTAGAGCATGACAACAGCAAAATGCTCTATAGTATGATGCACAATATTTTGGGAGGTGAAATACACGAACAATAAATCAGAGAGTGTTTGCTTGGAACTCACTGGGGGGGGGGGGCAACACCCCTGATAATTGCTCATGAGGAATTTCAGGTAGATTTCCAGTGCACTTTTGGTAAATTTAAGTAGATTTGCAGAAGATTTTCAGGGGAATTCAGGTAATTCTCAGGACATGAGAAAGTGAATTTGGAAAACAACTGTATTTTCGGAAAAATTATTATATGTCCTGAAAATTTTTTGTACATCTGGAAACATTTTGGTAACCACCCCCTCCCCCTATCTAACCTCACACACCCCCTCAGACGAAGTGCTCGCAACGGCAATGAGTATACATCTTTTGAAAACAGGCGAGGGGTTATTGCATGCATGTATTTCTAGTATACCCAGGTAAATCAGCGGACGAAATAGAGTTCGAAATTCGCAATATAGATCAAAACCTAGTCCCTCTCATGTTATATTACACTGTGGAACAAACAATCTTCCAACAGACGAGAGACGACCCAAATGTTTGCATAAAAAAACTTGAAGATCTGTGCTCGAGAGTGCATGGCAAATTTCCCAATGCACAAATCGGAGTGTCAA